TTGGGGAAATGCGCATACGTGTGCCTTCCAGCTCTATGCCCAACGTGCCGTGCTTATTTTCCACAGTGCAGAGATGGCAGAGCACGCAGCGGACGGAGAGGGCAGGACGCGTCTTGCAGCGAAATCTGGGCACCTGCGCAGGCTGCGGACATGATCAAGGCGCTTCACGATAATCTGCTTAAGCCGAGTCAGTTCGTCGACGCAGACGAGCACGTTCCAGATGAGCTGAAGGAACTGTTCGATGACTCTTCGAGGAGCCGCCTTTGGTCTGGGAATCGGTTCCCAGCGCGTGTCCGAACAGCCATGCGTCGAGACAGCTGAGCCTGTCAGGAGCTACTTTGCTCTCGACCTTTCGAACTCTTCTATTTGAGCACGTGGCAATCGGCCCCGACCATTCATTGCAATGCCGCCTTGCAATTCCTATTCAGTGTCTGCAGCGGATCCCTTTCCACTGGCGTTCTCGTTTCGAATTGACCTTTTGCACGCGTTCTGCAGGCATTGTACCACCTTCCAAACGCCTGCAATTCTGCGGCGGCCTCTCGCGAAACTGCCGCGAACTCGTGTAGTTTTAGTCGCAACCTGCCCGTGCGAGTGTTTGAACCGCGTCAGTCGTCGGCTGTACATATTGATGCTGATGATGACGTTGATGATTGTGATGATGCTGATGATGCGCGCGAAGATGATGGTGAGGGTGATCTTGAGGGTGAGGATGATCATTCTGATGGTTATGCTGCTGATGATGATGAACATGATGATGATGCTGCTGATGGTGATGTTGATTAGGGTGATAATCATGATTATGCTGATGGTGATGCTGATGATGATGATGACGATGCTGAGTATGATGATGCTGATGCTGTTGATGCCAATGAGGTTGATGGTCATCATGGTGATGGACACTATGATGATGGTGATGCTGATGGTGGTGGTGGTGATGATTGTGATTGTGACCATGGTGATGATGGAGGTGATGCTGATGTTGCTGCTGCTGATGATGGCGACGGCTATTGGTGATTGACACGGGGTCGTGGGATAGCGTGTTAGTTCCGGTATTCCTCAGGCAGCGCTTGCATGTAAGTGTTCTTTCTTTTGCGACCGAAGTCATCACTTGGACGGCTCAGTCGGGGGCTCTCGGCGCTGCCGTCTCGTGCCGCCCCTGCCTCGTGGGCGCTCCTGGGCTCCGCGTGCGTCGGGTGGGTCGGCCGAGGTTGCGCATCGCGGCCGCCTCGCGTTAAGTCGGGCCTGTCCCTCTACAGGAGGAAGATCCAAAAATAGTCAACAATAGTCTGGGGACGATTTTTGGTTATTTTCTATTATTTCCTATTTTGGCGTGTTTTTCGAGTATTTTTTATTTTCCGTCCCAAATCCCCCTGTAGGAAGACAGGCCCGACTGAAGCCTCGCGCCGTCTCGTGGGCCTTCTTGTGGGCGCCCCTGTGCGCCGGGGCGGCTCTCGGCGGAGTCATCGCCGCGCCACCGCCGCGTCGTGCCCCGCCCGCGTGCGCGCGCGTGGGCGCCCCGCTCTCCCGTGCGCCGGGCGGGTCGGGCGAGGCCGCGCCGCGCTGCCGCCCGTGGGCAGCAGCGTGCCGCGGCGGGGGAGGAGCGAGGAGGAGCGAGAAGGAGCGAGGAGGAGGAGGGAGGAGCGAGGAGGAGGAGGACGGAGGAGGAGGAGGAGGAGGAGGACGAGGAGGAGAACGGAGAAGGAAGAAGAGGACGGAGGAGGAGGAGGAGGAGGAGGAGGAGGAGCGGGCGAGGGATCCTCTGCCGTCCCCGCCGTCCCCCCGTGGGCGTTCGTGGGCGCCCCGTACGTTGCCGCCCGTGCCGCCTCACGGGCGCTCGTGGGCGCCCCGTGGGCTGAGCTTGCACCACCACATAGTTTACCACATAATCTACGACACATGGTTACATGTCACACAGCTTGCATCCTTGTAGCTTGCACTGCATGTGTTACACAGCCTTGATTGCACAGCACAGCAGCCACCAACCAGCTCACACAACTTGTACGCAGCACCCTGAGCTTGCGGGTAAGGGTGAGGGGGCGGCGGGGTCGTCGGCAGTCTGCGAGGCCTGGAGGCACCCCGCTGCAGGCGCCGATTTTTGAATAGACCACACAACGAGCCAGCCGCAGGCGCAGATTTGTTCGTCAATGCAGCGAGGGTGGGTCGCGGATGGGTCGTTGGGAGGGTCGTGGCGAGGGAGACAACAACAGCGCAACACAATCCGCACCGCAGAACCCCACTTCGGCCATGCGCCCGGGGACAGCGAATGACCGTTGGGCACGCTCATTTGGATTGCATGGAGCATTCTGCAGTTTTTTTTGTGTGGGAAATGTGTATATATATACACATACATACGCACATTCATATTCATATATCATTAAGGGGGGTCTGCCAAGAGGGCCCTCAAGGGGGCCCTGAGGCCGCCAACAAGAGCAGTCAAGGGGGCCAGAAAGCACCAGCACGCTCCCAGCACGACGACCACTGCTTCGAGACGGCTTACGTGGCCTCTAAGACGCCCCAAGACCGCTCCAGGCCAATCCCCGAGAGAGGCCCAAGGGGCGACGTTGATGGATTTCCCTTTGGTTTTACTAGGAGTTTTCTGTGACCACCTGCTCCGCTGCCCGACGCTTGGGGACGGCACAAGAGGCCTCTGGTGGTGAGCCCTTCGAGGCCTTCGTGGAGATCGAAAGGCCCCCGTGGGAGCGCGAGGTCCAGCCCTTTGCGCTTCAGCACGTTGTCCGAACACTCGTTCGCATGGGGATCCCTAGTGCTGAGGCCTCATGGGTTCCTCTTGGTGAATTTCGGTAGCAAATCGTGGAGGCCTGCATGCCCTCGTAATTGTTGGCGCTTCGCGTACCTCCACCAGCCTCACTGATTGGTACCTCAGTGGGCACGCCCTGCGTGACCTGGTGCCGCAGTTTTGATCGACGTGACACTGATGCTGATTTGTGATACCTCCCGCGCCATTTTGGCCACGTTGAGCCTAGTTCCGCTCTGAGCCGGGCGCCGCTCGCTTCACTGTGTTTTCCTTTGCTTCGGTGCGGCCCGCCTTAGCTTGCACGGATTTCGGCTTGCTTCGCGAGCCCGCGTACCACAAAGTATCCCCGCCAGCCAATCCAGAAGCAGATCGTCAGACGAGTTGCCTTGATCAGATAAGTGTAGGAGCGTGCAGTGTGACAGCCGCTTTGGACGCGGTTTCTTGGCGGTCTTTTGGAGCCATCTTGGGCCTCTTTTGGAGTGCTCGCTGCGCTTCCTTGGGCACTCTTGAGGCCCTCTTGGGGCTCTCATGGGGCCTCCTCGGCCCCCATAGCTCAAGAAGAGTGGGTTCGGGGGGGACTTCAGCTCCCCCCATCGGAGGCTCAAACATTGCGTCTTATGGCCGTCGCGGGGCGCTCTTTGGGCGCTCTTGGGCGCTCCTAGGGGCCCTCATGGGCCCGTCTTGGGTCTCTCTTGAGCATTCTTGGGGCCATCGTAATGCTTTCAGAGCTATCGGAAGCGAAAAGGCGAAAAGGCGAAACTCAATGTGTTTCCTCGAAGAAGCCATTTGGACCTCTTGGGGTGGTCCTTGGAGGGTTCGGAGGGCACTTGAAGCCGTCATGGGGCCGCCTTGTGGCCTCTTGGATTTTTGTCGGAGGCTATCTTGAAGTCAGAGTGAGGGGGGCTGAAACGAGCGGTCATTCACTGTCCCTGCGTCCGTGCCTGGAATTCCGCGGTGCGGATTATTATTGTTGCTGTGGTTGTTGTTGTTGTTGTTGTTGCTGCTGTTGTTGTTGTTGTTGCTGTTGTTGCTGTTGTTGCTGTTGTTGTAGTTGAACTCATGTCTGAAGGGATCATTATTGTTGACCCCCCCGTCTGGTGCACACTGTTGTTGTTCTTTTGATTGAAGTGCCCTTCCCGGGGCTCGCACCCTTGTTTTTTTATAAGGGGAAGTCTTGAGGGTCAAACTGTGTCGTTGGCCCCTGGTTTACAACAGCAACGGTTCCCGGTAAAGACTACCTTACCATTTAGCCAGGCCCCCCGCTCCCGCCCGAGACCTCCTCGCGTTTTACACAGGAATCGCGCTCTCGCTTGGGACTTCCTTCGAATGTATTATCCCGGCGCTCTGGACTCGCGCTTTCGCTGGAGACTTGCTTGCAATTTACTGTAGAATAACGCCCTTGCGTTGGAATGTCTTGCAATTTACTCAAGCGCCGCGCTCCCGACACCCAGACACCCAGGAATCGCGCTCACGCTTAGGACCCCCTCGCAGATTTCATAGGAATCAGGATCTCGCTGCCCTTCGTGACCCCGTTGCAGCCCTTCGTGGCCCCCTCGTTGCCCTTCGTGGCCCCGTTGCAGCCCTTCGTGGCCCCGTCGCAGCCCTATGTGGCCCCGTTGCAGCCCCTCGTGGCCTCTTCGCTGCCCTTCGTGGCCCCGTTGCAGTCCTTCGTGGCCCCCTCGCTTTGTTCCGTGGCCCCGGTGCAGCCCTTCGTGGCCCCCTCGCTGCCCTTCGTGGCCCCGTTGCAGCCCTTCGTGGCCCCTCTCGCTTTGTTTCGTGGCCTCGTTGCAGCCCTTCGTGGCCCCCTCGCTGCCCTTCGTGTCCCCGTTGCATCCCTTCGTGGCCCCCTCGCTGCCCTTCGTGGCCCCATATATGTATGCCCTTCGTGGCCACCGCTCGTTCGCGCCCGTGGTGGCCCCATACGTAGCCCAGTTGCTACCCTCAGTCGCTCCATCGTTGCCTTCTGTGGCCCTGCATTATCTGCCCTTCGTGGCCCCCGCTATTTCGCGCTCTTCGTGGCCCCATACGCATGCCCTTCGTGTCCCCGCTGTTGCCCTTCGTGGCCTACTTCGTGTCCTTGTGGTCATGCTGTCGTTCTCTTTCGCTCTCGCGTTCGCTCGTCGTCGCCGTCGTCGTCGTCGTCGCCGTCGTCGTCGACGTCGTTGTCGTCGTCGTCGTGGTCGGTCCCCTGTCCGTCCCCCTTTGGTCGGGTCGACGGTCCGCGGCCGCCCCGCCGATCAGCGCTGCCGCTGGCCAGGCCGACGGTCCGTGGCCGCCCCGCCGCTTGCCGGGGCCCGGCCTGCAGGGAAGAAAGGTATACCCCCCAAAAGGGGATCGATCGAAGACGAATGGGGCGGGTATCGAGGGTTTGGAAAATACGCGTGATTGGACACTCGAGCAGACAAAGCGCGAACAGTCTTGAAACGATTGCTTGTTGATGTGGTTGTTGTTGTTGTTGTTGATGATACAGGCGGGGCAAGCCCCCCCGGGGGGGGAGGGGGGGAGGGGGGGGGGGAACAACACAACACAACACAACGCATCCCTACAGGAGGATCCTGTGGGATCCGTACAGGGTTCCATAAGATTCCCACACGACCCTTACAGGGTTCCATAGGACGCCCATAAAACCCCTACAGAGTTCCATCGGGCTCCCATTCGACCCCCACAGGGTTCCATCGGAGTCCCATAGAACCCCTACAGGGTTCCATCGGACTATTTCGGCGCACCCCTCACGCTGGATCCATAAGGATCCATCGTGAGGGGTCCATAGGGATCCTCTAGGATCCCTGTAGGGGTCCACAGGGATCCTCTAGGATGCTTGTAGGGATCCATTGGGATCCTCCGTAGGATCCCTGTAGGGGTCCACAGGGATCCTCCAGGATCCCTGTAGGGATCCACAGGGATCCTCTAGGATCCCTGTAGGGATCCATCGGGATCCCCTTGGATCCCTGTAGGGATCCATTGGGATCCTCCAGGATCCCTGTAGGGTGTCCACAGGGATCCTCCAGGGATCCCTGTAGGGATCCATTGGGATCCTCCAGGATTCTTGAAGGGATCCACACAGATCCTCTAGGATGCTTGTAGGGATCCACAGGGATCCTCTAGGATGCTTGTAGGGATCCACAGGGATCCTCTAGGATGCTTGTAGGGATCCACAGGGATCCTCTAGGATGCTTGTAGGGATCCACAGGGATCCTCTAGGATGCTTGTAGGGATCCACAGGGATCCTCTAGGATGCTTGTAGGGATCCACAGGGATCCTCTAGGATGCTTGTAGGGAGCCACAGGGATCCTCTAGGATGCTTGTAGGGATCCACAGGGATCCTCTAGGATGCTTGTAGGGATCCACAGGGATCCTCTAGGATGCTTGTAGGGATCCACAGGGATCCTCTAGGATGCTTGTAGGGATCCACAGGGATCCTCTAGGATGCTTGTAGGGATCCACAGGGATCCTCTAGGATGCTTGTAGGGATCCACAGGGATCCTCTCAGATCCCTGTAGATTCCTTGTAGGGATCCATAGGGATTCTATAGGGTCCCTGTAGGGATCCACAGGGAGTCTAGAGGGTCCCTGTAGGGATCCACACGGAGTCTAGAGGGTCCCTGTAGGGATCCACAGGGAGTCTAGAGAGTCCCTGGAGGGATCCACAGGGATTCTATAGAGTCCCTGGGGGGATCCACAAGGATTCTATAGAGTCCCTGGAGGGATCCACAGGGATTCTATAGAGTCCCTGGAGGGATCCACTGGGAGTCTATAGAGTCCCTGGAGGGATCCACCGGGAGTCTATACAGTCCCTAGAGGGATCCACAGGGATTATGTAGAGTCCCTGGAGGGAGTCTATAGAGTCCCTGGAGGGATCCACAGGGATTCTATAAAGTCCTTGGAGGGATCCACAGGGATTCTATAGAGTCCCTGGAGGGAGTCTATAGAGTCCCTGGAGGGATCCACAGGGATTCTATAGAGTCCCTGGATGGAGGGATCCACAGGGATTCTATAGAGTCCCTGGAGGGATCCACAGGGATTCTATATAGTCCCTGGAGGGATCCACAGGGATTCTATAGAGTCCCTGGAGGGATCCACAAGGATTCTATAGAGTCCCTGGAGGGATCCACAGGGATTCTATAGAGTCCCTGGAGGGATCCACAGGGGTTCTATAGAGTCCCTGGAGGGAGTCTATAGAGTCCCTGGAGGGATCCACAGGGATTCTATAGAGTCCCTGGAGGGATCCACAGGGATTCTATAGAGTCCTTGGAGGGATCCACACGGATTCTATAAAGTCCCTGGAGGGATCCACAGGGATTCTATAGAGTCCCTGGAGGGATCCACAGGGAGTCTATAGAGTCCCTGGAGGGATCCACAGGGATTCTAGAGAGTCCCTGTAGGGATTCACAGGGAGTCTATAGAGTCCCTGGAGGGATCCACAGGGATTCAATAGAGTCCCTGGAGGGATCCACAGGGATTCTATAGAGTCCCTGGAGGGATCCAAAGACTCCTAGAGGGTCCCGAACGGATTCCGATGGGAATCCGTAGGGAGCTTGTAGGTACAGAATTCATACAGAATTCATACAGAATTCATACAGAATTCATACAGAATTCATACAGAATTCATACAGAATTCGTACAGAATTCGTACAGAATTCGTTGTGTTGTGTTGTGTTGTTCCCCCCCCCCCCCTCCGACTCACCGGGGGGGCGGGACCGGCCTCCTCCACTGTGGCGGACGCGGGAAGTGAAGCCCCGGACCCCGGGGGGACCATGCCGGCCTGTACCTTGTTGTTGTTGTTGTTGGTGTTGTTGTTGTTGTTGTGTTTGTTGTTATGGTGTTTGTTTTTGTTGTTTGTTGTTTGTTGTGTGTTGTTTGTTGTTTGTTGTCGCCGTCCCGCCCGCGACCCGCCCCGCGACCCACCCGCGACCCATTCCGCGACCCATCCGCGACCCACCCGCGACCCACCCCGCGACCCACCCCGCGACCCAGCGACCCACCCGTGACCCACCCGCGACCCACCCCGCGACCCGCCCGCGACCCACCCCGAGACCCCCCGGCGACCCGACCGCGACCCACCCGCGACACACCCGCGACCCACCCGCGACCCACCCCGCGACCTACCCGCGACCCACCCGCGACCCACCCGCGACCCACCCGCGACCCACCGCGCGACCCACCCAAAATTTTCGGCGCCTGCGGCGGGTCTTTTTTCCATTCGTTCCAGGCGGAAAACCTGCGACCCACCCGCGACCCAAACCGCGCCCGCGATCCACCCGCGACCCACCGCGACCCACCCGCGACCTCTCGCGACCCACCCCGCGACCCACCCAGAATTTTCGGCGCCTGCGGCGGGCTTTTTGTTCAGTCGTTCGAGGGGGCGAACCTGCGACCCACGCGCGACCCAAACCGGGTTCAGTGTACAAATCAAATGTTCGGCGCTTGCGGCGGGTTGTTTTCGAATTCGTTTTCAGGTGGAGGTGGAGAGCCCGCGACCCACCCGCGACCCAAACTACGTTCACTGAACAAACCAAAACTTCGTTTCATGCGGCGGGTTTCTTTTGCATTCGCTCCAGGTGGAGAACCTGCGACCCAAACCGCGTTCAGTGCGCAAATCAAAACATTCGGCGCTTGCGGCGGGCTGTTTTGGAATTCCGTCCAGGTGGAGGTGGACAGCCCGCGACACACCCGCGACCCAAACTACGTTCACTGAACAAACCAAAAATTCGGCGCCTGCGGCGGGCGGTTTTTGCATTCGTTCCGGGTGGCCCACCAGCGATCCCCCCCGCGCTGAACTTGTCAGAACACGCAAATCACGAGAAATAATAGGAGGAGGAGGGCGCATGGAAGGTGAAGGCCACGAGGTCCGCCAACTCGACGCCCGCGTCGCCCGCGCCCGCCCCCTCACTCTTATCCGCAATTGCGGGGTGCTGCGTATCTTGAACCATCTTGGAGTCCATCTTGGGCTCTCTGAGACCCTCTCTGGACCATCTTGGGCCATCTTGGACGCTCTAACTACCGCATCCCCCCCCCTTCCCAGGCCCAGGGTAGGGGGTATGGGGGAGGGGAAAGCCCTTCCCCCTGGCAGCAAGGGAAGGAGGGGTTTTGGCAGAGAGAAGACAACACTCGTTGAAACATCTACGCCCAGGATGTTGATGGGATTCCGTCTTCAGAACGAGCGCACTAGCGTCGATCATCGTTTGGTGGTGGATATAGCCTCGATACAGCGTCCACTAGCGTCTATTTAGAGTCTGTTAGCGTCGATCAGCTCCGATTTGCATGAGCCGCAACGATGGTGCGGGATGCTCCCACGAGTTGCCGCAGAGGGGTGCGTTGCGGCTTCACGGAAAGCGGGATGACCAGCTTACCCGTGGTTCCACATGGCGTCCGGACAGCTGTTCAAATTCGTCTCCTCGCCCGATTGCCTTCCTGCCCTCGTCTCCTCGCTCGCCCCCCTCGCCGACGTCGTCGCTGCTGGCCGCCACCTCGCATCGGACGGGGCCAGGACGAGGATAAGTTCGTTCCATAGCGTTCCGGAACGCTCTCGGAGCGTTCCGGAACGCTTTGAGAACGCCGCGGCGCCCGAGACCTTTTCTAGAGCCGCTAGATCTCAGCGATTCTCGATTTATCCTCACCCGAGTGTATCTTCGTCCTGGCTTCGTCTTACTCCACCTCGCAGGGTCCGCGCGCTGGTGGCGCTGATGGACACGGACGGCGACGGCAAGATCGGCTACTCGGAGTTCCCCGCTGCGGGGGGCCGGCACCCCTTCAGCCCGCCCCCTTGCCGGCGCGCAACTGCGAGCACGCGCGGGCAGCTTTTGTTGCCCTCCCGGGTCCACGTCGCACAGGAGCGTTCGAGGCCCCCTCGTTCACTTTCGACTTCACGTAAGAGTTCGGAAGAGGAAAAGGTACCCATACCGCCATTCGGCCTCCTCGGAGGCCCTCGCCGCCACCGCTGGATTCGCCCCGAAATCCTGGTCAGAACGCACCCCAGGAGAGGTCCAGGGAGTAGCGGTATCGGTACCTCTTGGTTTCCCCAAGAATAGCCCCCCGTTTGTCCACATCTGCTCGATAGGGGTACTACAGACAACCCGCATGGTAAGGAGAGGCAACCTTCCCAAGGGTACCCTCGCATCCACGCCCGTTCGGCCAATCCTTAGCCGCTTTCGTTGGCCAGCCTCGTTCGAAAAACGTGAACAAGGCCCTCCAAGGCCCTTGCATCCTTACCGCGCATCCTTATGATACGGGTTGACTATAGTTCACTGCCTCCCCCGAAAACGTCCTGAGATTCGCGCGCCCCCCTTCCGCGCATCTGTGTTGTTGCACACGTAACGGGTCCGAGCCTTGGGTCTTCTGTGCGTTTGCGATCCGAAGCTTCTCGGCGCTTTCAAGCGGTGCTCCCGCTGTAGCGTGGGGTTAATGGTCGGGGCATTGTTTCTGTCGGTCAGATTGGCGCTCTCGCCCCAGCGCAGGCCACTTTTCTGGATCCGAGTCCTTTCGCAATGTTCTCGCATCCTTTGTTTCCCTTCCATTATCTTCACTTGATTCTGCCGCTCCTGCCGCTCCTTCCACGCCAGTTCGTCTTGTTGCTGTTCGTTTTCGTCTTTTTTTCCCTCATGCTCCTATCGTTTCTCCTGCTCATCCGCCACCTTCTCCTTCTCCTCCTCCTTCACCTTCTCCTGTTCCTCCTATTTACTTACACAGGCTCATTGTTGTTGATGCCAAGGTCCGCTATGGCACGCCTCCGCGGGTAGAGTAGATCACAACTCAGCCATGGGCATACACAGATGGTAGGATTAGGATGTCGGGCATGGCGCGGGCGCACCTTACTTGCCCCTCTCTCCCACTCTCCCCTCTCTCTCTCTTTCTTCCCTCTGCCTAGCTTGCACCTCCCCCCTGTCCCTCCCTCACCCCTCTCTCTCTCTCTCTCTCCCGCTGGGACCTCGCTCTACCCTTGCTCGTGCACGACATCCTCCGCGTGCTTGCCGTGGGCGTTGGCTTCCTCTGAGCCAGCCCTCTGCTCGCACTTCGGCCCTCCCTGGCCCCCTCGCGACAGGTTTCTCGCGGCCGCCGCGGACGCCGCTCTGCAGCAGAGCGGCGCTGCCGCGTGGGAAGTCTTCAGGACGTTCGACCTGGATGGCGACGGCATCATAACTCAGGCGGCGCTCGCACAGAAGCTCGGGGCGGGGCGGCGAGCGGGCAGTGGTGGTGCCGCGCTGGGGGGGTCGGCACGGGAGGCGGCGAGGAGTACTTGAGGCGGAAGAAGTGAGGGTGGGGTGAAGGGGATGGGAAGGACGTGAAGCAGAAGGGCTGGGAATGGCTGGCTGCGAGGAGGAGCTGGACGATGATGGGTTCGAGCAGGCTGACCAGGATCACGATGGCAACGATGACCACAATCAGGACTGGAATGGGCATGCATGATGACTGTAACGCTGACTGTAATGGTCGCGACGGCGGAGCCCAGGCCGAGATGGAGAAGCTTCTCGGCGAGCCCGCGCTTGGGAAGGCCGTGAACTACAACTTCCAGGCGGGGTGGCTCTGAGGGGGCTCTGAGGGCAGAGTCGGCTACCCCATCGAATTCCAGGGCGCCAGCTAAATTGTGTGTTTTGGCGATTTCTTGAACCGTCTCCGTTTGATGTCGTCCTGCAGCAAAGGCGGAGCGAACAACACGATCACGGAAACCACTTTTTAGTTTGCGCCCTGACCTCCAGATGGTCAGTTTCCCTCCTCCCCCGTGAGCAGTTTGCCGAGCTGCGGCCACGAGGGCGTCCGCAGAGGCCCGACATGGACAGGGATCGGGGAAGATCCTCAATCCAGAAACTTCTGCCTCCCAGACATCAGACGCTGTATTGTGACGTCGGCGCGTGGATCATTTGACCCCCTCCTGAGGGCCAGTTCTGCATCCTGACTGCAGCGTGGTCTGAGTAGCTCTTCGACCGTGCAACGTGAAGGATACATGTGTCTCCTGCCGATCGCGTGTCCCATCCTCGGAGTGTATGGAGCACAGGTTGCCCCCGAAGAGACCTGTGTCTCTCCGGCAGTCTTCTGCAACCATTCCCGCCCATTCGGTCCTGGTCCCGATTCGGGCTGACAGGGGTGTCACGAATCGGAACACCAGCCGCCCCGCATCTCGACGAAGGATGCCTGGCCTGCCGCGCCAGCGTCGTGCTTCTGTCTTGTTCGCAGCGTGGCTCCCCTCAGGATCTCTCGGCGGCGAGCCCATGGGGGAAGTGAAAAGGAGAAGGCACTCTCTGAAGGCTCGGAAGTCCCCCAGCCTTCTGAGCAGAGCAGCTTTGTGAGAGCCTTACCCGAAGATGCAGAAAGCTCTGTCAGAAGGCTGGGAGCGCTTCTGCGACGCCCCACCACCTTCGCAGAAGGCCTCCTCCTTCTCACGTTCCCCCTTCGCTCGCCGCCGAGTCTCGACCCCTTCCCAGGGGCCGGTGTTTCGGCACGGCGATTTTTTTGTTGACGGCCCCAGAATTTGTTGTTGGACGGTCTCCCGAGAGGCCAAGGCTCGGTCGAAGCACCAGCCGCCATTGGCCTGCCTGCGACGCTCAAGATCGCATGCGATTGTTCTTCACCAACCTGAAGTCGGACATGTCCCCTCTGCAGGAGGAAGGTTAAACAATAGTGCAAATAGTAAGGGGACGATTTCTCTACTATTTTTGTTTGTTGGTACTGTTTTGACTAATTGTCGTTGTTCGTCTAAAATCCGCCTGTAGGAGGACATGCCCGACCTAACACCAGCCGCCGAGCTCCGCCCGAGAAGTGTGGCCGTTCAGACGAGACGGGGGGAATCCTGAGATACAGCCCAGGGGTCCTGAGTATTAGGACGCACCCCATACCGAGGATGGATGCCCCCCCCCATCGCATATCCCAGGGTTGGGCCCCACATTTCTGGTCCGTTCGACAGCCTCGCACGAAGCCTGGTGTGGGTGTCGACGCATCCCCCGTTACAATTGTCGCCTGGACCCTTTCTGGGTCGGTTCCTGGCCCACATCCCGCGGCGAAGCTGGCCTCGGCGACACGAGGCTCCCTGTCGGGTCTCAAGAGAGGGGGGTCAATGCAAACGGGGGTCGGTCAGAGCGCCGGGTCTTGCAGGATCCCGCAGAGCCAGGGTCGCACTGACCTGGGTTTGGGTGCAGGATCCTTCAGTATCCTGCAAGGCCCGACTGATGCGGGTCCGGATCAAGCTGAATCAGCAGAGCCCCGACAGAGAGCCTCGACGCGTGGTTGCCCAGAGTCCCATTGATCTTTGGATGCCCCGAGAGGCGCGAGAGGGCGAACACCTCGACCCTCGAAGGGTTTTTTTGTGCTCCAGCGCAATTTTTGGGAGAGGAAGGGAAAGTGAAGGGAAGGGAATCCGCGAAGCACCAAATCACCCTCGAAGTTCGATCCAGCAGAGGACTGCTGCATTCGGACGGGGGTGGTATGAGGAAAAGCAAGTTCCAGAGCGTTCCGGCGCGCTCTCGGAGCGTTCTGGAGCACTCTCAGAAGGCCGCGGCGCCCAAGAGGTCCTCCAGATCCGCTTGATCTCAGAGATTCTCGATTAGTCCCTATCCGAGATTCTGTTCCCGTCCTGGCTTCGTCTTCATTCTGGGGTGGCTCCTGGCCCGCACCTCTCGGCGAAGCCAGCCTCTGCGACGAGAGGCTTTGCTTGGATGCTCAGAACGGGGGGGCGAAGCGCGTCACAAACACTTCGACATCCTCGAAGCCCGACCCGGCAGACCCGGCAGAGGACTGCGCATCGAAAAACAAGAGATTTTTCGTCGAGTGGCACCCACCCAAGAGCGCGAGGCGGGATACCCAGGATCGGCGGCGAGGCCAGGGGTGGGAAAGGTGACACGGGGTGGGCCGTATCAGAAAGCTCGGAAGTCCCCCGGCCTTCTGAGACGTTTTCCCAGCCGTCCCCGAAGGCAACAAAAAACTTGTCAGAGGGCGCGGACGAGGCGGAAGAAAAGGAGGAGGAGGAAGAGGAGGAGCAGGTGGAGGAGGACGAGAAACACAGAAGCACTGGCACTCGCTGGGCCTGGCGGCCGCGGCAACCTTGGCGGCGCGCACAGGGGTGTATGGGGGAGGGGGGGAAGCTTCTTAGAGGCACCCCCTACTTCTTTGGAGCCGTGGGCCTTCATTGTACAGTGGAGGCCCATACCAAGAAACACCCTGCTCGCCTTCGGGGTGGCCTGCGTTTCTTGGGTGTCGATGTCTTTGCTATCGGAAGCGTGGCGTCCCCCCACCAAAAATCAATCAATGGACGTCCTGGGGTCTCAGGGTTGGGTTTCTTCTGGGCGGTTTCTTGTGGCCGGGCCCCTACCGCAGATGTAGAGCTGGCGCCTTCTCAGAAGCAGCCCCCCTTCCGAGCAGCCTTCCCCCCTCCCCCTGTACCCCCCTGCGCGCGCCGCCGACATCCGTTAGGGGGCCACCTCCAGCGAGGAGGTCCACGATGCCTCTCCGAGCCGGGGATACGGGATGTCCCGAGCGAGAGGGGGGACCACACCACCAGGGGACCCCTCCCTGGCTCCTCCCGCTGGTGGTCCCTGGTGTTGCTGGTGTCGGTTTCCCAAGTTCCCAATCCGTCGTCGCCCGTCGAGGGCAGGCGGGGCGGGAGAGGTCCGGGGAGCACTGCAGCAGCTCCTCTGGGCCTGGCGGCCGCGGCCCGGCACCCGGGGGTGCGCGCGAGGCGGGACGGGAGTTCCTTCTTGTCTCGAACGTGGGGTTTAGTCGGGCCTGTCCCTCTACAGGAGGAGCATCCAAACATAGTTCAATTTGTTTGAGAGAGACTGCGGGGACGACTTGTTTGATGTTTGAGCATCTGTGGAACAGTTTGGGGAGCATCTTTTGTTTCTGTTCGTCCAGAGTCCGCCTGAAGGGGGGCATGCCCGACCAAAGTGTGATTAGGGCAGGTTCGTGCCGTGCCGACGCGGCAGCGGCCCCGCCGCAGGCGTTCAAGGTTGAACGCCGCCAGTGGCCCATTGAACGATCTGGCGCTCGAGAAGCCGCCGAGCGTTCAGGCAGGGTCCAAGGTGGAACGAGCCGCGCGGTGTCAGGAGGCAGCGGTGGGGTCGTCACGGCGCGACCCTGCCGCAGGGGGTATCGACTACATAATCGATTTCTCCCCAAGCTGTGGTTGCCCGTCGAGTCTTCGAAGACTGCGCAGAGTGCCCCGCAGATCTGCGGAGCAATCTGCGGACTCCTCGCAGATCGAACCGGAAAGTCAACGTTGGGGTGAATCAGTTCCCTGTAGTCGATCGCCCGCTCGATTTTGATACCCCACCGCGCCGACGTGCCGGCAGTGGGGAACGGACGTCGACGCCGCGGAGGGGGCAGGCAGGACGGGCCACCGGCCAGGGTGCGGGACCGCTGGCGCCGCCCAGAGCCGCCGCCGATGCCGCCCCTCCCGATGCCCCCCCGCGCGCGCCCAGGGGAACGTCACCCACGAGGTCAGCCGCGACGCAGACCTGCAGAAGGCCCGCTCCGGCCTGACAAGGGGGGTGGGGATCGATGTCCTCCTCGGCGTCTTCGATGGAGACCGCTTTCCCGGTGGGCTCCCGCCAGCAATTATACGACTTGCACGCAGAGGGGGCGGGGTGGGGGGTGCCTGGCGAGGCCCGAGAGAGTTTGGTCTTCGCGCAAGTCGGGACTCGATTGCACGCCTTTTCGGCCCAGCGCTGATTGTAAAAACGGCGGAGGAGGGGGGGAACGCCATGCGAGTACATTCCCCTGACTGAAGCAGGCGGCTTCATAAACCCTGTGATCCTGGTGTCGCGTTGTTGTTGCCACACCTGGCGATTTCTCAGTGTTCCGGGCCCCGAGGCCCAGATGCCGCAGGAAGATGGCTTCTTGGGTTCCAGCCGTGATTTCCAAGACTCAGGGCTGGACAGGACCCCCACCCTGACGCGTCGATTCGTGAATTGTGTGTTTTCGGATCTCGGAGAGGGCGCCGCGGCCGTCATTTTCCAGGCTTGCGTCCGCCAGGTTTGGGCTTGGGCCAAGTTTCACTAAACCACGTTTTACTAAAGGGGTCTCTGTCCATGCCCGCCCGACCTGAGTTCCAATGGGGAACCCCCAGGCACGGCGCGGGTGGCCGCGGGGCAGTGGGATCGCTTGCCGCCGTCAATCGCACGCCTTCCAGCCGCGTTCCTCGTGGGACCCCGTAGAGGTGATCCTCCTCCTCCTCCTCCTCCTCCTCCTCCTCCTGATCATCATCATCATTATTACCATCATCAACATCATCATCATCATCATCATCATCATCATCATCATCATCATCCGTAGCCGTTTTGGCTCAAGGCCAAGATGGTGATTCAGTAAGTGCCTGAGCGGGGTAGGCACCCATCTATACTTCCAGAATTTTGCTCTCATGCGTTCGCAGCACCAACCAAGTGTGAGCTGCCACCGATTGCGAAGCTTCGCCATCCATATCCTAGCTGTTTCAGCTTTCCATATCACCTGCGCTGCGCGTCGGACGGAACCAACGCGTCTGATTGAGTCTTCACGGCGGCACCAGTTGTCGACCGAATGGCTTCAGATCGCGGCTCAGGTTCCAATTCGTCCAATTCCAGTGCTCCCAAACAGCGTCGCTCGCTTCATCGTCGGCACGGAGCACACAGTGGATCACGCAGTGATCGATGGGGTCTCCACCACACCTGCAGCCAGCAGGGACCATCGTCGCGATCGACAAGGCCGTGCACCGAAGTAGCCACCAGCTCGGCACCGAGATCCGGCAGTTCGGGAGGAGGCGCGTCTAGACTCCCACAGCAGCAGCAACGACAAGCAGCAAAAGTATGTCAGTTCTTGGAGGGTGTCGACGACCTTCCCACTGTTCCAGATGCAGAGAGGCCCCGAGCTGACCCATTTCGTGATTGAGATGCATGGGCAAATGCGAGTGCTACTCCAGTGGATGGGCCACCCACGCCAAATACTCAACAATGTGCTGGCGGACATGGCACTCGGGCAGGCCAGGCGCTGGAAGCCAGGCTCATTACCATCTTCACCGGACAGGTGCAGCTGGCCACATCGAGGCTCCAGGCCGAGACCACTTCTATCCTGCAGCCGGCCATGTCCATTCTTCACAATGAATTTCAAGCAGTCCTCGGCCAAGTTCGCCAGCAGGGTACGCGGCTGGACACATTGGATTACACGGTCAGGAACATCAATCAGAGGGCCACGTCTTCGAGCAGGAGTAGCAGCAGCTGCGCGCCGACGTCGAGCGCATCCAGGCGAGCCTCGCTATGGCAGAAGCCGCTCGACATGGCAGCGCTGGCGGTCTGAGGTCGCCCACCAGACCTTCGCCTCCATTCCATCGGTGCAGCGACAACAGTTCAGCCATCCGGAGTTCGGAGGGCCCTGGAGCCGTGGATCGACGCGGCTGGTGTGGCCATTTCGGACGTGGAGCTGGTCGGCGACGTTTTGTCCAGAAGATTATATTTACGAGTGCTGGGCGGAGCAGCGGCGCCCTCTCGCCGCGTCTCCGTGGCGAGGAGCCCCCGCCAAGGGAGTGCATGGAGGCATTTTTCTTGCAGCAACACTGATGCCGCCGTCACCCCGCCCTACATCAACGCAGACAAGAGCCCCAAAACGCTGGGGAGCGAAATGCAGAAGCTTGTTCGAACATTCAGGGCGGCGTGGCGGACATTTCTCCGGGAAGGTGGGCAACGACGGAATCGTCTCGTGCAGCGCCGCCCCTACCGTCAGCGTGGAGGTCGGGGGCAATGCTTCCGCAGCCACAACTCAGTTGGGACGGCGCCGCCAGTGCCAGGCTCGGGACCCACAAACACAGCATCGGTGGCACTTGCCAGCGCATATTTCGCGTCACCGACACACCGCTGTGGTTTTACTTCACGGAAGATGGTGCCCTTGGCGTATCAACCAGAGCAGTGCTGACTCAGGCTCAGGGGAATTGCTGTCTTGGACAGCCGGGGTTCTCTGCTGTCAGAATGCCCGACGAAGGCGAAATGAACTTCTTCGTCTCTCAGGATATACGCGCCATTTATGCTCATAGCGTCCTCTCCTTTTCCTTATCGCGCGTGGCACTCACAGGCGTCGCAGGCCAGGAAGGATAGAGTCGCCGTCGTCATGCCGCGGGATCGTGATGCGCCGCTAGGACACCGCCCTCATGCTCAATATGATTCCTCAGTTCCTCGGCGGATTGCCACATTTTGCGTCGACTCCGTTGGTGGCCAGTACTCTGTGCTGGTCATGGATGTACGCGACTACGATTTCTCTCCCATATTCAAACAACTTGTTGCCAACGCTTGGAAGGATGCGGTTGAATGGAATCATGGCGACCTCCACCACCACGCGTTCATTGCCATGGGTGGCTTCAACATGCGCGACGGGGAACCCGTCAATTGCGACGAGCCAACCCCATTGCAAACACCATTGCCGACGGCGCGGACAATCCAGCCGAATGAGATTTTCTGGCGCCCTCTCTTCGACCTGGCGCGGGAGGTGCAGGCCGACGCCCCAAACCACTTCAGTCGCCAACAACGCGCCGCCTCCCCCATCGACGGGGCCTTTCTTGCCATCCTAGAGCACTCCCTCCTCGAGGCGGATGTCCTCCTGAATGTGGACTCTGACCCGCTCGAGATGTCCCAGAGGGGGGGTCAGCGATCACTCCATGCTGCTGCTCAGCCTGAAAATCAAGGCCCCAGGAGACGCCGCGAACCATCGCATCCGAAATGCGGTGCTCAGCGACGTTAGATATCAGGGTATCCTGGACAAGCTGGTGGGCGCCGCGGACTTAGAACGTTTCCTTCCTGTGTGCCAGATATCAGCATCTGAAGGATATGGTGATTCAAGCGGCTAAACAAACGCGACATAAACTGCAGCGACTTTTTCGCGCGGGTGGCAAGCGTGCCGGAGGCGGGCGCAACGTCGCACTGCGTAGCATATCACGTGCCGCATGGAGGCCAGGTACGAAGCTTGCAGCGCTCGTCATTGCTACTTCAGACGAGGGTGCCAAGTATCTTCAGCTTGCAGATGGAGCGGTGCAGCTTCGGGAGCCAGACGCTCTCCGCCGTCAGTTTCGTTCCCTAAAATCTGCTGGGCTTCAGGCTAACCACGAATTCGCAGCGCGAGCAGCTCATCGTGCACTACGAGGAGGTCAACAGCAGGTGGCAGCCCGCCACTTCAAATCTATCAAGGCTATTCGCCGTCGTGCCATGCTATGGGGACCCCGAGGCCGTCGTCTCGTGCTAGCAGGGGGCCGACCTGAGCATGCCCCCGAGTCCTCCCAAACGGCAGTCACCACAGATCCCACCAATATCCTGGAGGCCCTTCGGCGCCATTGGTCTGCGGTCTGTCGGGCACAACCGGCCAGCCGGCTGGAGATCAGACAACGCCGGGAGCGACGATGCCCGGCCCGCGAGATGGCCGACTTAGCGATGCCCAGCGTCACGGACTTTACGAACACGCTCAGACATGTACGACGCAGCGTTCCTGGCCCCGATAGGCCCCCCTGCGTGGCTTGGATGGCCTCGGGGGGCCAGATCGCAGTCCTGCGCGGCCTCTTGCAGCACCTCATGGCGGGCCACCGCGCCCCAGAGGCCCTGAATGACTCCATCTGCGCCGTCTTGCCCAAAGGAAGTGGACCCAGCGATGCCTGCGAGTGCCTGCGCAAGATCAATTTCGCCTTCTCTCGCTGCGCAGCGCGGATTTTAAGATCCCAGCTTCGGCGGCCAATCAGAAGCTCAAAGGACTGGTCCGCGCGCGGACCCACAAAGTCCAGCATGGATTTGTGCCTGGCAGGAATGTTCTACACAATGTGCTCTTGCTGGATGCAGTTGCCCGCTCGGCTAGCCTCGGCGAAACAGCCGAAACGCAGGCGCCTGCCTTTGTTGCGTTTGATGTAGCCGCTGCGTTTCCATCCCTTGGCCACGACTGGCTGCGGGAGATGCTCTCTCGATGTGGCGCGCCGGCTGGATATTTGAATTTGCTACCCCGCTGTGCTTTGATCCCCGCAGCGTTGCTATGCTGCAGGGCGAAATGCAATTTTTGCCCCACGTGCGATTGGGCGCAATGCAAGGCTGCCCACTTTCAGGCCAGGCGTGGGCCATCGTTATGGACCCGATTTTAACCCATCTGGCGGCGGAGGTGTCGTCGTCGTCTCAACGGGGGGTGGTCGGGGGATGTGCTGATGATACGGGGCTTGTGCAGCGCTGCCTGTCAGATTTAACGCGCGTCTTCCCTGCCTCCAAAAGCGCCGAGGAGCTAGCTAATTTGAGGCACAAGCCTAGCAAGCCTAGCAAGACATGAGGCCTAGCCTAGCAAGACCATCGCATCCCCACATGATGAGAGAACAAATTCAGAGTGGAGCGGCGTCAAGATTGCTGGCCAGCCAACGTATCAAGGAGCGCAGTTCGGCCCCGCGGTCACAGGGAGCGGGGTTTGGGCAGAGGCCATTCGCAAGTGGCGGGGTCGGACTACGACGTTTCACGGACGGCCGCGCCCTCTAGCGCGAGCCTGC